ATATGGGGGGTATATTTACCAATTCAAAATTCACATTTTCATTTTAAAATAATATTAAGGGTATTCTTGACATTTCACAATAACTTAATGGTTCTATGACGGAATGGGGCAATTTTATAGTTTCTGTTATATTAGGGGGTTTTTTAATACTCGAGGGGGTTAGTAGATAGTTTCGATAAACAAGAGGGGGGTTTTTAGAAATTAGCCCTATTATATATACTCTGTATAAACCAAACATTTATTATTTAAAACTTACATTATGGAATTTTTAATCTATAATTTATTCATCCTATTAAAATTTTACAAAATGTATTTGTCCTTTATAGAAAAAGTAGCGGTCCAGAGTAATTTTACAAAATGTGACGTAGATATTCAATTTCGGAGAGTTTTTAATTTTCTGTTTGTGAGGGGAAAGTGAAAGCATTTCATGTAAGGAGGGACTTTTTATTTTTTAATTCTGACGTGACTTAGCCAAATCGTTTTCTCTTTAGCGTTACCTATCATTACTCTTTGAATATTCAAATATATTATTTGTTGAAAAAAGGAAAGCAAACAATTATTTTGATACAAACTAAAAAAAAAAAAAAAATGATAACTTTCATTTTTTTTTTTTTTTTTTTTGGGAATGAAAGGAATAGTTACTAAGGTTAAATTGGGATACCAAATGGGCAATTACCCATGTACAAACTTACAGGCTAAGTTGTCCCACTTAATTTATTTTAGCTCTTATATGGGCTTTTGGGCTATATTGTCTCACTGAATTTATTTTGCTTTTAAATTGGCATTTGTTTTATCTGGTTATATAGGCTTGTCCAGCTGGTGCCGGTTGGTTGTGTTTTGTTTTTGATATTTTTGTTTGTGTGGGTCATGTAACATTGAATAATAGAAAAAATGCTTTTCATAAAAATTAAGGTAAAGTGCATTAAACCCCCCCTGAACTATTGGGGTATATGCAAAAAACCTCCCTAAATTATAAAAGTTGCAAAAAAACCCCCTGAACTATTAGGGTATGTGCAAGAAATCCCCCTAAACTATAAAAGTTGCAAAAAAACCCCCTGAACTATTGGGGTATGTGCAAGAAACCCCCCTGAACTATATTTTTTTTTGCAGTTTACCCCATCTGCGCTAATTGATTGACTGAAAAGGACGATGAAGCCGAGGAATTTGTTGCTGGGATCGATGGGTCTCCTGTCATAGCTCCATCATAGCTGTTGCACCACCTGTCAGATCCGTCGGCCATATATATCGCATTTCTCTGCAACGTTGCGTCAGCCCATCGCTGTCACCGCCTTGCCCGCCGTTTAGCTCACCTTGCTCGCCGGTCCATTCTATCGTCCATTCCAAGTTCACCGGCCCATTCTGCCATCTCCATAGCCGAGCACACCGCCGTCCGTGTTTCGAGCACACAGCTGTCCACAGTTCACCGCCGAGCCCCCTCGAGCTCGCCGCCGCCTCCACAGTTCACGGCCGAGTCAACCGACTCTCATCACAATCGAGTCCTCTGCGCACAAGCATTCATCATCCGAGACCGAGCCATCCCGCCGACCTCGGATTTCTTTGGTCTCTTCTCTCTCTCTCTTTCTCTAGCTCTCTGTTTGGGTTCTGTTTGGTGAAAAACATCTTTTGGTAGAAAAAAAAAAAAAAAAAAATGTAAGAAGTGTATAAGTTAAAATGACGCAGTGTGTTATAAGGGTAAACTGGTCTTTCAAAATTTTCGGTGCCGGAAGCTGATGTCATGGGGGTAAATTGCAACAAAATCATAGTTCAAGGGGGTAAATTGCAACAAAATCATAGTTCAGGGGTTTTTTTTGTAGTTCAAGGGGTTTCTTGCAAATGACTAATAGTTCAAGGGGGTAAATTGCAACAAAATCATAGTTCAGGGGTTTCTTTTTGTAGTTCAGGGGGGTTTCTTGCAAATGACCAATAGTTCAAGGGGGCTTAATACACTTTACCATAAAAATTATTTTGCTTTGCGTATTATCAATTGTTTAGTAAATAGTAGTCAAAAGTCGAAACAATAATTTGATATTTTTACATGTTTTAGCATTAGTAACAAGTAATTTAGCGATGAACCGTACCAATTTATTTTATTTTATTTTATTTTATTTATAAAAACTAATTATTATATTTTTCAAACTTGTAAAAAAAATTTATTAAACATGTTTTCATGTTTCCAAAAATGTGCACGAATGGACGTTACCAAATATACTTTCGATTATCATTTAAAGCAGTCTACAAACAAATACTTATTTTGTTTCGAGTAAAAACAAAATAGTAGCATCCACAGTGTCTTATCCAAGTTCCATATATGTTGATGGATAGATTACCTCTACCCCAATGACCGAACTAAAAACAATGTAATTATCAAAGAAATTTGGCCTACAAAATTAGATCAAATCCAAATATATATGTATAGATTAATCCAAATATCAAAACACCAACAACACAAAAGAAAAAATGCCAATCTCTAAATGGTCAACTAACATGACCAAGAAAATGTGAGCTGTTGTTTAGTTGCCCCAACTAATTTATTTCGCTCAAAATGATCAAGTAATAAGGTATGACAATTTTTGGGCGTTGTGTTTGTGTCGATACAATTTAGGTTGACATGATTATTAGTCGTGTTTAAAATTCTTGACATGGATACGAAGCGATTATTACACGACACGCGTAATCTGTTTAATAAATGTATCAAGATTTGACATGATACGAAAAGACACGTTTAAGTCACTTTTGACACACGATATGTTTATTCTACATGTTTAACTAAATGGATCATTTTTTTGCACAAACACGGCATGTTTAGTTAAGCGGATTAATCGTGTCATAATCATATTTATAAGGTCAAATACGAACACGACACGTTTAATTAATGTGTCTATTTGTGTCGATATAATTACGACACGAACACGATTAGTCCAAACTCAAACGCTGTTATATAGCCTAAACAAAAATCATACCAAATAAGTCCACAAAGTATTTAGTTCCACATGTAATGATTGTTTAGTGGGCTAATCCACACCGTCTATATTCAAGTTCCGAAACTAAAACAATGTAATTATCAAAGAAATTTACGCTACAAAATTAGATGAAATCCAAATATCAAACCACGAAGAACACGAGAGAAAAAAAATGTCAATCTCAGAACCAAGAAAAGGTTAGCTTTTGTCTAGTTGTCCCAACTAAATTAATTTGGCTCAAAATGGTGAAGTAACAACATATCAAGTACTCCTAATCATCAAGCAACAGTGTAGTAAAATGGTGAATAAACCTCATGTCTTGCTTAGAGTGTTACAAACCGGAATCAAAGCAAACAGCATCGAGTAAGAGTTTTAGGGCTTGAAGTGGTCCTCCTTCATATCAGGAGGACCATCCTTCCAAACTTGCTTGCTTGGATCCACTTCCTCTGGTTTTGCAAAGTAATTCTCGATGATCAGCACGGGAGGATCAGCATATTGCACCACCACAACGTCCTCCTCCACATCCTAAAAATTTGAAGGATCAAATTACACACAAATATATCTATACAAATACAATTAATATATATATGATTTACACACACAACATCTATCTAATTCTTCAACTTCCGTTTTCGAAATCAATCTATTATCTGTCTCTACAAACACTTCGATTGCAATCACAACACACGTAAAGACTCACACACACACGCGCACACACATAGAAACACACCCAATTTTTCATCTTTCCTTTCTCAAATCAGTCCCTTTTCTCACAATCACACACACATACGATACACCATCACACCCAATTCTTCGGCTTTCCTTTTTATAATTAATCCAATTCTTCAACATTCCTTTAATTGTCTGTGATACCATGGTATATAGATTATGTGTATATTTATATATAAAAGAATGTTAGGCTAATTAAAATTATATATATCCATCTTTTTAAGACAAATATAACCTTAAAATTTCAGTTCTATGTGCTTCAAACGAGGGCTATTTGGGTCATTTCATCTCTCTATGTTACTGTACGCTCTCCATCACCACCATAATCGCGCCGACGCAGAGCAACACAAGGACGGCCGGCGCATAGGCACTGCCTGTGTCAACGGCGCGTAGCATCGCTAGGACCACCAGAACCGACGCAAAGCACGGCCAGTATCGCCGCCACCACCATCCCCACCCCATAACCACCACCAGCACCACTATTATCCGGTGACGAACCACCACCATCCCCTGCAAAATTGAAGGCACGACCACCAAAATCGGTGGCGCCAACACCACCATACTTGTGTATTTTAAAGAATAAACCACCAGTCACCACTGACCACCACAGTCGGTGGTTCCACCACCACCACATCCCCAACCCCCACTAGTAATGTATTTCGTCGAACCACCACCGACACCATTCTCATACCCACAACCACCGCTAACAAAATGTGATAACACCAATAATCGAAGCTCTCGCCCACGCCCACGCCGGCGGCCGATTTTGGTCTGGTTTTGGAAGGCCAATCGAGATCCACAGAAGACAATTGGGTAGGCTAAACTATGAAATTACTTAATCACCCATATTTTCAATGACGTGGCAACCTTTAGTAAGGTTTTTTTTAAGACAAAAACGATGGATAAGCTTATTTTCTGTTAGATTTCGTATATATATATATATATATATATATATACACTCTTAAACGTCCATAATCATGTTTCAATCATGAACTAACCTGTAGTAAATTGACGGACGTCTTCTGCTCAACCTCCGATTTCTCCGGACAATTATCTGTTGCTTCCTTCGCTTCCTTCTAGAGGGACAAAAAAGAGAGAAAGTATGAGAGATTGATTCACCGCAAAAACTCAATAGCCTAAATTCAAGAGAATTGTCACCTTAAGCGTGATTCTCTCAATCTTCTGCTCAACGACCGGCGGCTTCTCCAAAGTTGCTTTGTTTCTAACTTTCTAGAGAGAGAAAGCAGAAGTGAGAGATTGATTCACCGCAAAAACTCAATAGCCTAAATTCAAGAGAATTGTCACCTTAAGCGTGATGTTCTCAATCTTCTGCTCAACGACCGGCGGCTTCTCCAGAGTTGCTTCGTTTCCGACGTTCTAGAGAGAGAAAGTAGGAGTGAGAGATTGATTATCGATCATTAGCGCAAAAACTCAATAGCCTATTCGTCACCTTCAGCGTGATGTTCTCGATCTTTTGCTCAACCACCGGCGGCTTCTCCATAGTTGCTTCCTTTTCGACGTTCTAGAGAGAGAAAGTACGAGAGAGCAAAAATTCAATAGGCCTAAGGAACGATCTAGACAGAGAAAGTAAGTCAAAAACACAATACGCCTAAAATTCGGCTCAACCTTCTGTTCGGGATTGATTTCGCTTGCCGATTCCGAAGCCCTGCAAATGAACGAGATCATGAAAGTGAACCGATCGTCAAGTAAACAGATCAATATGAGAGAGAAGAGGGAGAGATTAACCTTTCAACTTTATTAATCATCCATTTCCGCACAACCCTTTTACCACCTGAAAACTGATCTGCCATTGTTGAACGGAGTGAACAGAGAGAGATTGAGAAAATGAACAGAGAGAGAGTGATGAGAGAGATTGCAATATATAGAGAGAGAGTGAAGAGAGAACGAAGTGGGAATAAGCAACGTGATTCAGTTGCGTTGGCGGGAATAGAGCAACATCCACGTTTTCATTTTGAGAATTTTTTTTGGGTCATAAATTGAACCTCTATAGATAGACTACAACTCTAAAATGGAAATGATACTATGGGTCGGGGTATAATTGGTCACTGCTTCAGATTTCCAAGCAACATCAATTTTTCTTTTGTCTTTTTCTTTTTTCTCCATTTATATGAAAATTTATCTGTGAGGGGTTTTAATTTCTTTACTTTCTCAGTTTGGTGGTGAAAACCAAAAAAAGCATAAGAATTAATATAATAAAATTTATCACCCAAGAAACATTTGAGTATTCTGGTGGATAATTGATCAATGGGTTTAATACTAAGTTGAATACAGGGCTTCTGATTTCCTCATCTGATTGTATGGGCTTGGAAGTCATTTCTTGTCAATGTGTCTCGTGTGTGTGCCAATATGTGTTTCCTTTAGGTGTGTTAATTAACAAGGAGGCGCTATATTACTGGCTTCAGTGGCCATTCTCATCCATCTGGTTCTTGGACCTCTACTGAACTGCAGGTCATAAGGCATACTGTTCGACGGAGGGCGTGCTCCGGTGGCAGTAGTAGACTAGTAGTGGTGTAGGAGTTGTTTCTGCATCAATGATAAATCAACCTCAAAGTGGTAGAAGTGGTGTTATTTCTGCATCTGGAGAAGCTAGTCTTCACAAGCTAGTTTGCTACAAAGACAAAAACACACGGTATTTTCATCTCAGGCTTAGTTGATCATGTTGTATCTTTTTGCTTCAGAGGAATGGGTATCTCTAGAATAGGAATGTACTGGAGTATTAATGATTTAAGGACCTAATTTGACAGTTTTCGAATTCAATTTATGTGAGTGTGTGAAGTTGGTACCTAAATCAACTATTATTCCCTTCAAATTGACCATGGTTTTAATGATTTATAAAAAATAGGAGGTGAAGTTAAGGTGAACCAAAAAATTCTCCACATTCCTCCATCCTTTCCTCTCATTGAACAAGTATAATCTACAATCACGAGGAAGGGTTAAATCTTCCATGGTTTTGGCTCACTTTGGAGAACTCAATTTAGTTCAAGCACATGAATAATGACCTAAATATATTTAACTCCAAGACTCTCTGCATATTCTAGCAACCTAAGAAATATGTCACATCCAAAATGACGACGCAGATTTACAGTGTTCGCCACTCTGAAAAATCCTGCCCGACTCCTAACCAAATCCCGCATGACACCAAAACAGTTTGTCAGCTGTTGAGATTGGAGAGCATGCCTCCACAAGCAGTTGGCATCACCACCACCCAACCAGGCCCATCAAGGCGTGTCTGGTTCTCCCTCTTCATTTGGTGTAAAACCAAGCAGATCACTGTGGTTTCTTCATCAGAGATTTCCGTTTGTATCATCTTGTCTTCAGGATCTTCTTCATCTCGGAGCAGTGCCAGAAGGCCCTCCTGAAATAACACAGCTCCATTAATGAAAAAGTTTCTAGGAACTTTGTTATTAAAACAGTTGATCACTCAAAAAACCACACATGGAGCATTGCAAGGAAACTGAAAGCTCAAGTTCTATAACATCGACATCCTTCCATACTATTGATTGTAGTCTAATAAATCTAAAATCATGGTTTACAAAATATGGAAATAATAGCAAAATCTCTTTGGCATAAAAAAGGAGTATAATGAAACATAAAGTATTAAATGAGAGTTAAAACATGCATATATATATATATATATATATATATATATGTGGTGAAATATTCGGACAACATGCATTGATCTGGAATTGGCCCCCTAACAACAAGGTCGAGTCAACCTGGACCAATGCCTATTAATTTCTTGTTGACCCAACCAAAATTGTAAGAACCCTGAGCCAAGCCACAACCCTAGCCTGTCTACATATTAAGCTTTTCAAATCGTAAACAGTCCAAGAAATAATTTAAGAACACAGAGACTAGATTTAATAATATAGCAGAAAAAAATTTAGATTTTTGAATGAGTTGAAAATTTTGGAAAAAACTTGGAGCAGGACGACTTAATCGTATCAACAAGTGTTGATTCGTCTGTTGAAGGGATAGAAAGATACATTATGCATCGTTGGGAAAGCTTATATCAACCAGGCTTTCTAATAAACCCATTGTCCAACAGAGAACTACAATATGGCAATTGAGAGCCAATAGAACAGTACATCACATGGTTGAAGATATCAAAATAGATATCACAAACCTCTGTAAGATCTGTACTTTTAGACGTGGTTCTTTCTCGCTGAAACTGCCCTTTCCCAATCACGACATGCTCAAGCTTTAACTTACTGAAAGCTCTTTTCAGAATTCAACCCTGATATCATATACTTCCTCAGTTTCTTCCCATTACAAGAAGAATAGCAAACTGCATTATATAAAACAAAAGAAAAAAGCCAACCACAAAGGTACCTCTACAGATTGAGCTGTTGCCAGCCTGTAAACATGAATGGCTTTGTTTGACCATTTCTGTGACACTGATCCACTGCTTGTAAATCCATTTGGGGATTCTGGGATGCAAATGAAATATGATAAACCAAAAATGTCAAGTGCATCTAATGAAAAAGGCCAAAAATACCAAAACAAGCTCAAGAAATGGAAAAAATGATGGTTTGAGGAAGGTACCCAGTCACTATCATATAAAATGCAGGTATCACCGTATCACCAGCAGTTAGATTGATACCAAGCCCACCAGCCCAGGTGCTGAGGAGAAATATTATGTAATTTGCTATTCGAATCATTGAACTCCTTGACCTGTTTGACCAAAAATAACAGGTTGTCACTAAAACAGAAGATGGTTCATCAAATGCTCTTTTTTCTTCTTTGGCAACTGAATCTGAGTGATCAAAGTAAACGATATAATCAAATGCATGGAGAGAAATTTATTCTAAAGGAAAGGACAAGAGGCAGCAACAAGGAGACTAAACATATTCATGGCATGGGTGCAGGATTGTAGGCTTATGGAGGATATGTCAAAATTACATTGTGTGGGACTATGAGAAACAGGGAAAAAAAAAAAAAAAATTTGAACATGTGTGCAGCCTGACACATATGCACACTCAGACACACATATAGAATCCATACAGAGAGACAGTGAATCATGACCTAACTGGAAAAAACAAGTAATAGAATTCCAAAGATAATAAACAGTGTACTGATTGTCAGAAAAATAAGATAAACAGTGTCACCTCAATGATCAGCCCAGTGAGGCTAACCAAACTGAAGAGTTTAGATTCTGACAAATTTTATAAAATGTTAAAAAAAATAAAACAATTCACTTAGAAAACAGCAATTTTCTGTAAGCCAAATCTCCAAAATTTGTAAATTAATCTATAAAAATGACTTGGAGCAATATCAAATGTTAAGAGGTAGTCCTTGCCGGTCTTTTTCTTTCAGACAATTTCACACTACCATCAATTCTACAAACCTAAAATCCCTTTTCACTAAAGTTGTAATCAAGAATATCTAAACTTAGTCCACCGGCAGAAGTTTAGAACCTGATTGAGAATATAACAGAAGGTTAATAGAATAATAATAAATAAATAATCAATAAACTCTAAAGCATACCTTGTGCTTGCGAGCAAATAGCTTTGCCAGCATTCTGTCAAGCAAGTGAAATTTGCTGCACTATTCAACTATCTGTTCTATAGGTGGATAGAGACCTGTAAAGAAATCAAGCAAGACAAAAATTGAATAAAATTATAGAGAACCACTGGGCATCTAAAAGTCTCTCATATGCAGGCAGATTGGTACTTATTAAATCAGTATTAATTTCCACAGAGATGTATTGGTCCAATATTTTCATTCTCCCAAAGAAGGTAATTGATGAGATCAACACCTTACTGAGGGGATTCTTATGGTCTGGACCTGAGATGATGAAATCTGGAGCTAGAGTTGGATGGGGTCAGTTTGTAAATCTAAAGCTGAAGGTGGGTTAGAGTTACCAAACTTGGAGACAGCCAACAAGGCTGCCATTATGAGTCACATTTGGAGTCTTAAAACAGGTAGTAGTCAGAGAATTTGGGTATTATGGTGCAGGTCATACCTCTTCAATGACTGCAATTTCTGGACAAAGAAAATTCCACAAGTGTGCCCATCGAGTTGGAGGAAATTTTACAGCTGAGGCCTCTTGATAGGAAGATGATAAAACACAAGGTGATGAATGATGAGAACACGTATTTCTGGACTGATTACTGGCTCAATGGTGGTCCTTTGACTGATCAATTTAGTGAAAGTACCATACGTGCAATGGGTTACACACTCACCACTAAAGTATGCTCCTACATCCAACACACAAATTGAGTATTTCCACATCAGTTAACTTCTATCATCCCTGAGCTCTCATTGCTTCCACCTCCAGTCATTTCAACACCAGACAAAATCATTTGGAGTGCAGTTCCTACTGGAGATTACTCACTCAAACATACCCTATGTGCACTCTCTCCTGAACCCTTAGTTGCTCACTGGTCACACCTGGTATGGAACAATCCCTTACCAAGGCAAAAGATGATACTTTGGATTGCTATACAGAATCGATTGCCAACCTTGGATAGAAAGATCATGTCAAAAATTGAGCCCAAATTATGTCTCCTGTGCTCTTCCAAACCGGAATCACACTCTCACCTATTCTTTGATTCTGATTTCACTGGGCCAATATGGAGATTCATACAAGATAGATGCATATGTTACACAGGAAGTGAGAATTGGCCCCATTTGTCATTTGGGCTAGTCAGCATTGGGTTAATAGAAACCCTAGAATCATGCTCTGTAATCTGGCTCTTACAGTAATGATCTACACTATATAGCAATAAAGGAACAACAGACTTTACAAGAACCTACCTTCATCGCAATCAAAGATGCTGAAGCTTGTTGCGAACTCCATTGCAGGATCATCATTGCAGGATCACTCAAGAATTCGAAGAAAGAACCTATCTCTGCTCTTGCAAGGGAATGGAGCTTGATTGCTGCTCCTCTCCGGCCACCACCGCGACCTCCGGACTGATTGTGTGGGTGATCAATGCCATCACCATCTTCTCTTGATCACTGGAATGAGAATTGACATCCATTGCTAAATGCTATTAAGCAGTTTTCAACGGTTGTTTCTATGCTTGATTACTAGGAGTAACCGTTCTAGTTGGGGTTTGGGTTCTCGGTGTTTTTGGGTTCACTATTGTGTTCATGGACTTGGACCTGCTGCTGTTGCATAATCTTTGGGCCGCCTGTTGTTGGGCTTCTTGGCCAAACTGGCCGTGTACATTCTTATGCATACATACAATATTTCTTGGGAAAAAAAAAAAAAAAAAATGTTGACAGCATTGCAATTGGTTTACAAAAACACTAATTTTGATAGTAGGTGCGGTCAATGGTCACACCAAATTTGGAAGGAGAGGAAATGAGAAGGATTGATATTTTTATTTTTTTCTCCTGATAATTTTTAATTTGTTACACCTTAATGTTTTTAGAGACTTAAAAATAGCAATAGAATAAAATTAAAAAATATTTTGTTTGAAATTTCGTAACACTATTATTTTAGGGAATAAAGTATCTACTCACCTGTGAGTATAAAAAATAAGGAAGGTTTAAAAAATAAACACATAGTCTGCAATTACAAAATCAAGCAAGGTATAAATAAGAAAATAGAGAAGTGACCGAATTTATTTTAAAAGAAAAAATTATTATTCTTATTTATTATTTTTCTGATTTTATAAATACAAATAGTGTCTATTTGTAATTGAAACACATCAGCATTCAGTAAGAATGATCTACTCATCGGGGAGTAGGCAAGTAAGGACAATGCTAATAGGTTTAATGACAAAACTAGCAAAATAATTTGCATCAATGCACCGCAACTGGTCCTAGGTTCACCTCAATGTTTTTGTATAATATGATCCCGGACAATACTTGGCTACTCACCGGTGATTAAGAAACTTATACTCACCATGCATGTGGCGCAATACTAAACTGACAAATGTCCTTACATTTAAAATAATAAAAAATAAATAATTTTTAGCTATATGGGGTAAACCCAAATGAATCCGAATCAATTCTAACCAAGTTTAGTATTGTAGAATTAATTTTTATTTAGTTTTGTACATCTAAAATAGACTTATATATAACCAACAAAAGTATACTTTTTATTTAGTTTTGTACATCTAAAGTAGACTATATGAGAGGAGAGAGAATTAAAATTTGATTCGCATTCATTTGGGTTTACCTTAAATAGCTATCAAATTATTTATTTTTTATTATTTTAAATATAAGGACACTTATCAATTCAGTATTGCACCACATACTTGTCTTTCGCCTCATAACCCTCCTTGTTGCACACAAATAACCCGCGGTGTAAAATTCCCATGCTTTCCCTTCTTACTCGAACTCCATCCCTATCTTTGGGATGGAATTAACATCTCCCGGGGAGTCACATGCTATGATTACTACTTCCATTGTTGGTAAGATCTCATCACTACTTTGGACAATGTTGATCAGGGCGAAGCCAAAAAATTTCAATTGGGGGCCAAATAGTAATATAAAGTTAAATTTAATAATTTTTTTTCTTGTACAAATGATGTGAGAAAAATAAATAGAAAAGAGATTAGTTAACAATTCATTAATAAAGTTGTCGTTGTCCAGTTTTCTTAGAGAGTACTAATATGTTTTAGCAAGAGTTACAAAATAATAAGTACTTCTATTATTAAATTTGAATTTTTAAAGACAAGGCTAAAAGGATTTTTTTTTTTTTTTTTAGTTGAATGGGTAAGCTTTTATAAAAGAAGAAAATATTTACAATGTCCAAAATTGGACAAATGAGACCTGAGGAACATTCTCCAAAGGCACCAACTGAAGTAAACAAAACAAACAATTGCTTGTCATGGTATCATAACAAATATACATCAACCAAATAAACTTACATCATCAAAATACATACTGCAGTACTAACTATCCCAATCATAACAAGCTGGTTGTAATAGCACTACTCCAGACTTAAATCAGTACCAAGGCTTGGCCATTAGCAAATGAGCAGCCTTTGACAAATAACTCCTGCAATTCCACCATTGAACTGATATTCCTCATATCTGCTCCACACTTGGCTTAACTGAAGCTAGTCTAGCTCTTATGCAGTTCTTTATCATTCTGATAATGAGGTAAGAGGGAGAGGACCTGTTTCTGAATGCTCTTACATTCCTTTCTTGCCTAATGAAGTAAACAGATGCAGAGAAGAGCAATTTGTGAATGAGCCAGTGGCTACGAGTCCAAGTATTAGAACACCAATCAATGAACTCTCTCCAACTATTAGGCTTGATGTAGAAACCTACAGCATGTTGAATGAACTCCCAAATTGTACTACTATATTTGCATTTGAAGAATAAATGATCCAAGGATTCCCACTCAGCTAGGCATAAATAGCAAGCATTGGTGTAATATTTTTTTCTCATTCCATTGCAATCCAGTGTATACAGTCTCTCATTGAGTGCCAATCACGTACTATGTCCATGCTTTGGATTGTGATTTTTAAACCAGATAAGTTGATGCCAAGCAAATAACAAAGATGAGGTGAATAATACTCCATTGTGAGCTTGTGAGAGTAATGCATTGGAGCATTTGGTAACCATTGGATCAAATCAGTGGTTGCATTTGGGGGTGAGAGGCATTGAAGCTGAGATAGGAATGTTTGTGACTGGAAGAATGGATTCTGCTGTAACCAACTTAGGATTGTCCATTGAGAATTAGCAATTAGACTATCAACCTTAACTTGA